ATATTGTACATAATACCTCATCTCAGAAATATAGACAGATACTGAAGGGCCGAAACGTTGTAATAAATATGGCAGCAAAGATGAGGACAATAGTCCAAATAATGTAAATAGTGTACATAATACCTCATGTCAGAAATATAAACAGATACTGAAAGGCCGAGACGTTGTAATAAATATGGCAACAAAGATGAAAACAATAGTCCGAATAATGTAAATAGTGTACATAATACCTCATCTCAGAAATATAGAAAGATACTGAAAGGCAGAAACGTTGTAATAAATACGACGACAAAGATGAGGACAATAGTCCGAATAATGTAAATAGTGTACATAATACCTCATCACAGAAATATAGACAGATACTGTAGGGCCGAAACGTTGTAATAAACATGGTCACAAAGATGAGGACAATAGTCCGAATAATGTAAATAGTGTACAAAATAACTCATCTCAGAAATATAGACAGCTACTCGCTACTCTATCGCTATTTCCATGGCAAATGTTCAGATGAACTGCATTCCTTAGTTCCACCAGTTCTAACCGTTACAGACCCGCCATTTCACATGTTAGCGGATCGGCCACTTGAAAAACCGATTCCTGTACGATCACCGTAGTTAAGCAACGTTGAGCCTGGGCGGTACCAAAGTGGGTAATGTTGTAAGCTTTGATGTGTAGATGGTGTCATGGAAAATTCCTCGGAATTGTTAATCGGAGAGCCGAGTTTCAATACCCGTTGAATCGTTAGATTCACTCTCGCAAATAAACCTGTGAAACGCTGAATATATTTCTTCTCCTCCAACCTAAGGGTTAATTAGTAAGACTTGTATCCCTAAACCATTATTATCTTGGCTAACACCCCGAAACTACTTCACAGCTAAGACTTTTTTTTTCACTCCGCCCTCCGTATGTCAGATGTTGTTTCCCTCAAACTTCTTTCCACAAACCGCTGCTTTGTGGAGCCGATTCCCAAAGGTATAGTTTTCCTATCACTACAATCTTAATTTGTTTCAGTCTAGCTTTAACCGTTATCTTTCTCACATATCTCCGTAAAATGTGCCTTTTACCGCTTACTCTGTAACTCTACCTCACGTGGCTCTTGTGCCTTTTACAGAGAGAAAATTAGTATAAAAATTATGCGTTTGTTACCAACACTACAACATTAGTTATCAATTTAGTTGCCACCAAAGAGTGATGCCCTTGAACAATCGGTGTACGAACGCATAAGTAAGGACGTAAAGGCACGGTGGAGTAATGGATAGCGGCTTGGATTGAGGAATCGGAGAGCCGAATTTTCCAGTCGAATCCATTACATTTCACTTACGTTAATACCCTTGGGAAAGGTGTGAATCCTCTTTTTCTCCCCTCCAGCTATGGGTAAATAGCAGGACAGACTGGGTTCTATAGCCTTGGATGGCAACTGGTCTTAATTCAAACCTGCTCTTAGAGGGAGGTGAAGGGACTCTCTCTGAGCCTTTGTTGGCAATCCATTTAGTGTTGGTGTCACGATAAAAACACCCTTGATAGCACTAGCGAAGCATCAAGAATTCAGCTATTTGACAAGATTATGAACTACACCAATAAAAGTATTGGTGAGTTCAATCTCGTCTGAGGCCGCAAGGTGATGATGAAGGACGTAATACGAAGCGATAACAACTACACATTCACCTCAGCAGCAATAGTACCATTTGTGGGGAACAGCTTTCCGTAAAATACAATATGCTTCTCTTTCTTTCTCTCTTTCTTTCTCTCTTTCTTTCTTTCGGCTGACCGCCATATTACGTTGAAACACCGATTGCCGTACGATCACCGAAGTTAAGCAACGCCGAGCCTGGTCAGTACCTACATGGCTGACCGATTCAGAATACTAGGTCCTGTGAGCTACTCTGTTCGGCTGGTGTAATGGATAATGCCTCTGAATTGTTAATCAGAGAGCAGTGTCCCAAATCCAGTTGGGTTTGTCATATTCACATGCGCGTAAATACAATTGGGAAAGGTATGAATCCACCGCTTCTGCCCCCAGCTATGGATTAATTAGTTAGGACTTGTATCACGAAATCACTATCATCTCCAAAGAACACTCTTAGTCTAAAAAATATTTTCTGGCTTTAAATAACCTGCAAAGGGTTGATAAGTCGTAAAAATCGAATCAGTCAATTCTATCCTTCATTTTTCTTTCATGCTTCTCTATGGATGCGGAAGGCGATTATCTCTCTTTGGTCGAAGTAAGTCACGTGGCGGTCGCTGAGTGACGTCATTCCATACAGTAACGAAAGTGGTCAGTCTTACATTCGTTTGATAGAAACTAAACGAAACAGTCTTTGGTTTGCCGTGTAGATATATGTGATTATATTTTTCTCAGTGTTTGGTTTGGTTTGTTTTACGGCATATCAACCTCAATGGGTCATTTAATGACGACAACTTTTTTTTTTTTTTGGTAATATTTTTGTTTTGTCAAACTATTTCTGTTAATATTTTTTTACTCAAAAACGTATAGCTGTTAACCGTTTTGTTTTCTCAAAAACGTATTGTTGGCAATAGTTTTTTCAAAACGTTTTAAAATGTATTACTGGTAATATTTTATGATGCTTTTTACCTCAGTTTCGGGGTTAACTATTTTCTCATAGCTTGGTTGGTTGGTTGGGTTTTATGGCATATCAATCACTGTAGGTTATTTAATGCCAAATGAAGTTTATATATATATATATATATATATATATATATATATATATATAATATTAGTGGAAAATATACATACATATGCAAAATATATAAATACCCATACATTTATATGCAAAATATATAAATGGAATAAATTATGACCATGGAATATTAGTGTTTAAGCCTTTTTATATATATATATATATATATATATATATATATATATATATATATATATATATATATATATATATATATATATATATATACCTGTATATATATTAAATATACAGTAGTATTAAACGTATAGCTGGCAACATTTTTTTTTTCAAAAACGCATAGCTGGCAACATTATCGTTTCAAAAACGTATAGCTGGCAACATTATCGTTTCAAAAACGTTTAGCTGGCAACATTATTGTTTCAAATACGTATAGCTTGCAACATTATGGTTTCAAAAACGTATAGCTTGCAACATTATTTTTCCGAAAACATTATCTGAAGCTTGCTGTTCGACGTAGTTTATCGTCATACCCAGGAGGTGGATGTAGTTTATCGCCATACCCAGGACCCGGATGTAGTTTAGTGCCATACCCAGGACGCGGATGTAGTTTATCGTCATACCCAGGACGTGGGTAAGAGCTGGAAAAACTAGGAGTTCACTATTTGCCCATAGCTGGGACCCTAACAGGTGCTACCACCTCGGTTCAAGGTGGACCTGGGAACATCAGCAATTAAGAGGTGGTTCCACGCTCCTCAAAACCTCCTGATCAGAGGCCTTGCTGTTGGATGCAGTTTAACGTCATAGCCAGGACGTTTTCTCAGTCGTGTTGGTGATCACGTAAATATGTATATGTAGTTTTATGTACGTCTTACGGGTAAAGGAGTTTCTTTTAGAACGTTTTTTTTAGTCCTTTTCCTTTCAACCATTCCGTTCCGTTCCATCCGTGTACTACGGTGTTATTATATCACGGAGATGATAATGCTTATAATGGGGAAATTGTAAATGGTAGAATAAACTTTTCTTCCAATCTCCCCCGTTATAGTTTCTTTCTAAAACACTGACTAGATATTTTTCCTTCCTTCTTCGTTGCTTCTCCTTTCACCTCGTAAAAATCTAGGTTGAATACAGAATTTGTAGGAATGAGCGGCATCAATCTTCAGTTTAAAGAATCAGCTTTAAACTGAAGATAAAAAACAGTTTTTACCGTTTTATAACTCGGAGTTCATTATTTATCCATCCATTAGACAAGATAACTTGTGTTTTTATTTTATTCACAAGCAGTTACTCGGCACGTGTATAATTTTTCCGTTTAATTTTCCACCGCTTATGATAGCCCAGAGAGTCATGTGTGAATATGGAAGTTATAAAGATTTTTTTAGGCCAAGAAAATACGTTAAAATACTAAAAAGCGAAGAAAGCGACTGAGAATGTAACTTTATAATGAAATGGAAGTCCAACTGCCAAGAATCCTTGAATTCGTATTAGACGCTTTTTTTTATCTTAGCGCATCAAAAGTTTGTTTCTCTTTCAAGGATTTTTTTTTCTATCAAGATTTTAACTTTCTTTTCTTTAACAACTTCAGAGGTCGTATGAATACTAAGCCACATTTTTAAAATTATTAGGTTGGTGCATAATTATCGGGCGTTTTTGTAAGTGAGTTTTGTGTTAATAAAAATTGCTGCTTTATTTACTTTTTTTAATAAAGCAAATAAGAAGCAGTTATTGAAGTAGATAGTGACTACGTTCCTGAATAATCATATAAAATTGTTATTGTTTAATTGTTATGTATCATTTTTTAATAAAAAATATTCTTTAAAAACGCCTGATAATTATGCACCAACCCAATAGAAATTTAATTTCAATTTTACAAGGATTTTACCACCATTTCCTGTTAAGAAATGTCTTCTTGTCATCTTCATTCAAGGATCGCGAAATACTTCAACTGAAGGACGGATATTTTTATTAAATTTCCTTTCATTGAACTTTTTTTTTCATTATTTCTCTTCCTTATTCATTCTTTCTTCTTAACGTTTTATACTTTTCTGTTGAGCTTCTTTTATGTTCAACTTCTTTTCTGTTGTGCTAAACATTCAAATTTTATTTAATTGAAATCTTATTCGATTGATCTCTTGTTGAAAATCACCTTAGCTTATGAATAAGATCCACACTGTCTGCTCATTGAGGTTCGATTTGCACTGAGGTTTTAGGCGGGAATAAGGTTGCAAAATCAATAAAGAAATGACATGATAAAAGAATCTAAATAAAACAGTCCTTTTGTTTGTAGGAGGTTCAAGAGCTGATCGAAAAAGTGAGAATAGCATGTTTCTTTAAGGGAGGGAGTCAGAAGAAGAAGAAAAAGAAAAGGAATGAAAGGAGAGGGGTGAAAATAGGGATGGCAAGAAGGGAGGGGAAAAAATGAAGAGAGATGGAAGGGAAATAAGAAAATAATGTAGGCGGGAAGATGAAAGAAAAAGGGAGATTTTTTAGAAAGAGAAAGAGAAGGGGAGAAAAGAAAGGCAAACAAGAAAAAAGAACAGAAATGAATGAGGATAAAATAAAGAAGAGCGAGAGATAAAAAGAAAGAAAGAAAAATGAAAGGGGAGAAAAAATGAGAGAACTTAATGAGGAAAAAGAAAGAACGAAAGAAAGAAAGAAAGGAACAAAGAAAAAGGCAGAGAAAGAAAGCAAGAAGAATGAAACATGAGAAAAAAATAAGAGAAATGAATTAGGAAACATAGAGGGGAGCGAGCAGACGCAAAGAAAGAAAGAAAGAAAGAAAGAACAAACGAACGAACGAACGAAAGAAAGAAAGAAAGAAAAAACAAACGAACGAAAAAGAAAGAAAGAAAGAACAAACGAACGAACGAACGAACGAACGAAAGAAAGAAAGAAACCTATGAAAAAGTAAGAGAAATGAATTATGAAACATAGAGAGGGAGAGCAGACGCAAAGAAAGAAAGAAAGAAAGAAAGAAAGAAAGAAAGAAAGAAAGAAAGAACGAACGAAAGAAAGAAAAAGAAAGAAAGAAACCTATGACAAAATAAGAGAAATGAATTAGGAAACATAGAGGGGGGGCGAGCAGAGGCAAAGAAAGAAAGAAAGAAAGAAAGAAAGAAAGAAAGAAAGAAAGAAAGAAAGAAAAGAAAGAAAAACCTAGACAAAAATAAGAGAAATGAATTACGAAACGAAGGGGGGGCGAACGAAAGAAAGAAAGAAAGAAAAGAAAGAAAAGAAAGAAAGAAAGGAGAAGAAAGAAAAGGAATATTAAACTGAGAAAAAAAGGAAAGAAAAAAGAAAAAAATAGAGATTGAAGGAAAGAAGAAAGAAATTAATACGGAAAAAGTAGACAAAAAGAAAGAGAAGTTGAAATAGAAAATTGAAGAAATGGAAGGAGAAAGAAAATAGGAAAAACAAAAGAAGAAAATATTTAAAGTTTGACAGGAAAAAAATATTAAATGACGTGAACGGAAGAAACCATTCTGTAACACGTTGATAAGTTTAAATATTCATTAGAGCTTTGTCAAGGTTAATTATGGGTGGGGTAACAACAATTTCTTCTTACTGCCTGCTCAGGTAAGATCATTATGGAAAGGTGCACTTCCACACATCTCGTAATTTAATTCTGTCAAGTTTCTCAATAAAATAAACTGTTATTTGACTATTAATATATGGTCATTGGAGGGGTGTGGTTTTTAAAGCCTCGCCTAGCGGGGTCAAAGTATATAATTGCCAGATATGAATGGTAGGGTTATAAGTACGCAAGCTACAAAACCTTTCAACGTTAACCTTGAGGGCATCTCAACTTTGCACAAGCCGATATACGAGAGCTTGTGCGATTGTAATAAAAAAAATCCTAAATATTTGTTTTCGATGTCGTCACAGTGTATAAGTAGTGTGTTTATTTTAGTCCTTTCAAGGATTGTTAGAGAATACGAAAAAAAATAGAAAACATTATTAGGGATAAAGAATAATAAAAGAACAGGAATTAAGAAAACAGAAGATAACGATTGACATTGCATTTAAATTTTTGAAGATCAAAGTTGACTGGGGAAGGAAGAAATCAGAAGCGAGAAGTGCGAGGGAGGAAACTGTTAGCATAGAACTTACGGTAACATCTTGACATTTCAACTGTAAGATGATGAGACCTAGCTGCCAATCTAGTGCTGCGTTTAAATTTATAAAATCTATGGTCTGACGCAATATTTGTCTGAATTGAAAAATACTGATATTTTTCATCGATTTAGTAAGGGAGTCCTGTTTATATCGATAATATTGAAACAGTGTCAAATCTATCCCTGACTTTTAAAAAGATCTCGTTTTTCCCTGCTATTTAACCCTTAACTGGAGTGAAGGATGAAGAAATAGATTCCTGCCTTTTCCCAAGGTCATTAGTGCAAAATGACTTGAGGACTTGAATGCCTCTTATTAATTTCCATATCATCAACTGTTACACAATCCGTACAGTCTGAAGGAATTCTTACTTTACTTTTTTGCTTTTTCTTTTTAATGCTGCACCAGAAAGCATTATTAATCATTTTCATTTCATAAATCATCAAAATTTAAAGTCCTTTTTTTTTTCCTTCTTCGTATTACTGTCTTTATCATTTGAGCATAACATAATTTTTATGATAAATACAGTCTCTCTCTCTCTCTCTCTTTGACTTTACATCATTTGCAAATTACAATCAAGTCAAATCCTGATTATTGTCAATATAAGGTGGAAGATCAAAAAAGACAAATTCCTAATAAAATATACAAATTATTTTGGTTCTATTTCTCTCTTCTAACACTGATATAATCATAAGCCATGAGTAAATCTCTAACATGATTAAAAAAAAAAAAGAAGTTATGTGATGGTTGGCATTTGCCTTGAATAAATTCAATTTGGTTTGAATTAATTAAAAAAGAAAAAAAAAAGAAGCAGAATCACTTTTAATCAGAGGGAATTAAATATAACAAATATTTCTTACAAGTTTTGTATTTCATTTAAATTTTTTGTCAACTCTGCGTGAAATGCCATAAATCTCTGTGAATTTATCTCAATAGAAGGAGACATGGAATTTTAAGGTGAATTATCAAAAAAATATTTGTTTATCTTTCATGAACAAAATATGCAGATTAACCAACACATAAGATGGTCTAAATTTAATCACTGAAATATAGAACCAGCAATTAAGAGTATTGGTGTGCCATAACGATGATTAGCACACTCATTGTTTCGGTGGTCATATGTCCAATCCCCTATATAAATTAAGTATGATATTACCTTTGGTGAAATCAATTTATCATTGTACATTTTATTTTTTCAACATATTTCTTTTCTCTGTAATCAATTCACCCCAAGCAAGGTGATAATGCCACTAAGATGCAGGAGACTACTGGCAGTGAAAGAGAATGAAAAGACTTTAGATTGAACCAGAAACCTAATTCTTAAACAGGAAACTATGGATAAACCTCTACTCCTGTTCAAAAGACTGGATGAAATGTGAACTGGGCAGTAGGTGAACCTATCTACTCCATATTGAGGAGTGATGTGGGGACACTAAATAAAATTTCATTGTTCAGATATGTTAGAAATATAGAGTTGAAGTAGACTTTAGAAGGAATCAGAAACCCAATCCTAAACAAGAGTCAAGTGATAAACCTCTTGTTCAAAAGATTTCATTGTTATATCACTCAGTTTCAAATTGCTCATATTCCATTACTATATCCTTGTGCCATACTAAGTTTGCTGTAACAGTTGAGGTAGGTGTGTGTGTGTGTGTGTTAGTGAGGCATAAAAGCCATAGCCAATAGACAGTTTTGTTTTTTTTTAATGCAGACAAACTTGTAAGATGAACCAAGTCTTCCTATTGACATTAGCCCAGGTTTGTTCTTGTGAAAGAGAAGGAGATAAAATTGTTTAACTTCCTAACCTGAAGTTTTTTTTCTTGAAAATACAAGGAAATTCAGTTTCCATTTACAAGATCAGCTGATCTTGAACAATTGGTTGGGTGTTGGGAAGAGGGGGAACTTTTCTGATAATCTTTCAAGTTTTTTTTAAACTAATTCAAATTCACAACAAGCAAGGTGATAATGCCACTAAGATGCAAGGGACTACTGGGAGTGAAAGAGAATGAAAAGTCTTTAGATTGAACCAGAAACCTAATTCTTAAACACACACACACACACTATATATATATATATATATATATATATATATAGTGCTGTTCGATAAAAGTGGCTCACCTTATCCTTTGAATTTAGCTCAACTTTCGTTTCATCGTAGAAGAGAACATTCTTCCAGTCTTCTACGATGGAATTTTTGTAATAGTGAGCCCATTCAAGTCTCTTGGCTTTGTTGGCTTTGCTTATTAGCGGCTTAAACCTTCGTGTACAAGATTTGTAGCCTTGTTCTAACAGCCACCGACGGAATTTTGAAGAGGCAAGATTAACACCTTGCTCTTCGCTTAGACTGGCTGCAATTTCTTGGCTAGTTATAGTCCTATTCTTCGCAACTTCTCTCTTGATTACCCTGTCAGTTCTATCATCAATCTTTTTCTTTCGTCACCTTGTTTCCTTCCTTGGAGCAGGAGTGGCATCATTATGTGCCCTAAGTACTCGAGAGACAGTTGATTGCGATGTTATAGCAATTTCTGCAATTTCTCTCGTAGACTTGCCTGCTTTTGAGAGGGCAATAAAAGATGCCTTAAGTGGTTCTGATGCGTGTTTGTATCCTTTCATCTGGTTAGTGACTTGAGTGGCTATTTCAAGCTGTTTTTATACTGTATGAGGCTTTCTGGAATATTCTGGAATATTCTGGAATACTCTAAATTTAATTCAAGCTGTTCTAGAATTCTCTAGAATATTGTTCTGAGTGTATTGTAAAATAGTTTTCAATATTTTGTCAAAAGCTCCTTAAATTGACCAGTTTAATCATTAGAATGCGATATCTGAGTCACTTTTTTTGCACAGAGTTTTTTCCTGAATCTCATTTATATCCAAATTTATAATTATCAGTAGAATACCTTAGGGTGAATAAACTTTTTTACTAGGTGGTCGGGAAGGGGTATTTATATTAGTAAGATTAAAAATTATTTTTAACTTCAAAACAATAGACAAAAAATATTTTAGTAAAAAAATCAGGTGAGTCACTTTTCTAGCGAACAGCACTATATATATATATATATATATATATATATATATATATATATATATATATATATATATATATATATATATATATATATATATATATATATATATATATATATATATATACAGTAGCGTCCAAATCTAAAAGGACAAAATTTTAAAACCTAATATTTGTTAGAAATAACTGTGAAAAGCTGAAATTTTGACAACTGGTAGTCGTTATCATCCATAATAACATACTAAAATTTGAATCATTTGCAAAGGATAGAAAAACAATTATTTATTTATTTTCAAATTTGGAACGTCCAAAAGTAAGGGACAAAATTGAGAAAAACAATGTAAACGGCAAAAAACAATAAAAAATACATGTACAATCAATATTTAGTAAATCAGCCCTTGCTCAATGACAGCTGCATATCTTCGACTACAAGAACGAATCAGTTCTTGACAATCCTCGATACTAATTTTAGACCATTCTTCGAAACAATCACCCACAAATCCTCCGTGTTAGTGGGATTTCTTTCCATAACTTTCACTCCTAAGGTCTTCCAAAGATTTTCTATTGATTTAAGTCAGGACTTTGCGGTGGCCAATCCATAATTTCCAAATCTTGCTCAAGGGTAACTCATTACCACCTTTGCCCTGTGACATGGGGCATTATCTTGCATAAAAGGTAGCCCTATCGAAACCTTAATTCTGTATGATTGGCACAACATGATCTTGAACAATGTTTTTATAGATCTGCGCGTTTACGAGTTTGTAACCGGACAAGAGGCGTTGTACCTTGGCTAGAAAACATTCCAAATACCATGACGCTTCCGCCCCCAAACTTGACAGTTTTCTTAGTACACTTTGCACCCCATCTTTCACCAATACGTTTTTTACATTGTTTTTTTCCATCATTTCCAAATAAATTAAACTTGTTTTCATCACTGAAAAATACTTTTGCCCAATTTTCATATGTCCAAATTACATACCTGTTTGCAAACTCTAATCTCTTCTTCTTATTCTTCGAACTAACAAGTGGTTTCTTCCCTGGGGTTCGATTAAACAGCCCTATTTCTTGCAGCCGTCTACAAACAGTCTGTCTTGACACATTAACACATGAGATACTATTCATAACCCTTTTAATTTC